TTATTTAAAGTTAATGTAAAAAATTTTTAATTTTGACCAAAAAAAAACTTAGAAAATTATCTAACCTTTTTTTAACAAGCGGGAATTTTTTTTTAGCCTAAACCCAAATTTAAAAAAAAATTTTTTTATTTTTTTTACGTTTTAATACCCAAAAAAAAACAGTGGGAAAAATATTTATTTCGTTAGGTTCCGAATTTATTTCGGCGAAAAAATTTCAATTTACAAATTTTTCATCGTCTTATAGTGAAAAAATGAACGTTGCTAATTTTAAACCAAAAAAACGCAAGTTCTGCCTTTTTGGGAAGACATATATATATATTTTTATTTAATTAATATTATATATTAATATATATATATATATATATATTTTATTAAATATATATATATATTATATAATATATATATATAATATTATAAAATATATATATATATATATATATATATATATATAAATATATTATATTTTTCGTGCCGAAAATGTTAAAAAATGGTCAATTAGCAAAAAAATCATTTAAAAAAAAGTCTTTTCTAAAAAAAAATTTATTTCGTTTAATGATACATTTTTTTCATTAATGTTAATGTAAAAAAAATTTTTTTTTTTTCCCCCAAAAGAATCTTAGAAAATTTTTTTTAAACCTAAAAACCCCAAATTTAAATTTTTTTGATTTTTTACAATAATTTTAATTTTTAAACAAACACAGTGGAAAAAATTTTTTTTTTCGGGGAGGTTTTAGATGAATTTTGGGGACATTATTTCATACAAAAATTTCACTTGTCCTATATGACAAAAATAAGTTTTTGCTATTTAAACCAAAAAACGCCCAAATTTTTGCCTATTTTGGGAAAGACATATATATTAAAAATGTATACACACCACACATAAAAATATATTTAAAAATATTATATATTATTATTATATATATATATATATATATATTTTACATTTATAAAATTTTATATATATAGATATAAATAATATATATGTACAAATATATATATATATATTTATTATATAATGAAAAACAGCATGCGCAGCCAAGGCTATGCAGTGTTTTTATTGATTTAATGCCAGTCTTTTGGGCACAATATTATATAAATATGTAAACACAAATTTTATATATATATATAATATATATATATATATATATATATATATATATTTTTAAATATTTACGGAAATTTGAAAAAGGGAGGGGAAAATACACAAAAAAACTGATCTCTGGCTGAAGGGACCGAACCTACGAACCCTTTGGGCCCAAAGGGACGCAGTGTTTTCCAAACTACCCACACTGGACCCAAACCTTTGGGTCCAGCTTCCGCTAGGGCTTTGATCCAAGGCACCCGTTTCAGGGGGGAAGGCTTACACTTTTTATCTCAAACCCCTGGGATCAAACAGCCTTACTTAAAATTTTTTTTAAAAATGGAATAATTCGCAAGAGCAGGGGGAAAAATTAAAAAACATTTAAATTTTGGTGAAAAGGGACCCCGAACCTACGAACCTTGGGAAAAAGGTACGCAGTGCTTTACCAATCTCCTTCAGCCAGAGTTTACTGGTTTTTTGTAATTTTTGCCCGCTCTTGCGAATTACTTGCATTTTTAAAAATTTTTTATTAAAAAGGCTGATGCATGCAGGGGGTGAGATGAAAAACTGTAAGCCTTCTCCCCGAAAGTGGCTGCCTTGGATCAAAAGTCAGCGCAAGCTGGACTCCCCAAAGGGATTGGTCCCAAATTGGGGAGATTTGGGAAAGCCCTGGGGTACCTTGTTCCAAGGTTCGAGGTTCGAGTCTCCTTCAGCCAGAGATAAGTGTTTGTTATTAAAAATTTTTATATATATAAAATATTATATTTTATAATTTTTATATATAATTTTTATTTATATATATTTTTTGTGTGGTTGGGGGTATACATATATTTATCCCTATAAGAACATAAAGTATACACACACACAAAATATGTATTTTATATTTATATATATCTATTTTAAATATATTTATATATATATATATATATATTAAAATTTTTAAAATTTTTTATATAAAATTATATTTATTATTTTCGTGGAATAGGCAAACTTGCGATCTTGGTTAAAAAAGCAAAGCTATCTTGCCCTATAGGACAAGTGAAAAAATTTTTATATGGGAATAATTTCGCCGAAATTCCCTTCCCGAAAACCCCAAAGAAAAAAAAAAATTTCACCCGTTTTGTTTAGTATTAAATTGCCGTAAACAAAAATAAAATATATTTAGTTTTGGGGTTTGGCCCAAAAAAAATGCATTTCTCCTAATTTTTGGGTTTGGTAAGTATTTTAAGTTCCTTTTTGGGGCAAAATTTTTAAATTTTTAACCCTTAAAATTAATGGGAAAAGGGAAAATATCTTTAAAATTAAGAGAAAATTTTTTAAAAGGAAAAATTTTAAATGAGTTATTGCTAATTGACCAGTTTTCATATTCGGCACGACTTTATATATATATATATTATATATATATTTTATTAAATTTTTATATATTTAAAAATTTTATATATATATATATATATTATAAAAATATATATATTCAATAAAAACCCCGGACTAGCCTTGGCTGTGCAGTGTTGTCAAAACCACTTGTTCGTGGCCAAAAATAAATATAAAATATATTTCATAATATATATATTAAAATATATATATTTAAATTTTATATATATATATAAAAAAAATAAATAATATATATATTAAAAATTATTATTTTATATAGTAATATTTTAAAATATATATATATATATAAAATTTTATATTATAGTATATATGTTATTATTTATATATATATATCCCCAAAATATTATAATATATTAAATTATATATTTATGTAAAATATATTATGTATTTTATTACATATAAAAATAATATATATAAAATAATAAATATATTTTATGTAAAATGTAATATTAAAATAATATATATTTTATTATAATATTTTAAATATATAATATATATATTTTTATATATTTTTTTATATATATGTCGTGCCCAATAGGCCAGAAAAAGCTATCTTGGCTTTTAAAAAGCAAAGTTTACTTTCCATATAGGAAAGTGAAAAACTTTGTGTATGCAATAATTTTGCCAAAAACATTCTTAAACCTAACGAAAAAAAATATATTTTTAATGTGTTTGTTTTGTAAATTTAAAATTTTTGTAAACCCAAAACTAAAAAAATATTTAGTTGGGGGTTTGGCCCAAAATAAATTTTAGCTTTTTTTATAATAAGGGTTTGGGAAGTTTTCTTTAAATTCTTTTTGGGGCAAAATTCTAAATTTTTACATCAAAAATTTAAAGAAAAAAATATATCTTTAAAACGTATAAGAGAAAAAAATTTTAAGAGAGGACTTAAATTTGAAATGGGGTTCTTGCTAATTGGGGCCATTTTTACTTTTTCGGCACGGGCAAAAAATATATATATCAAAATATATATTAAAATAATATATATATATATATTAATTTATATATATTTATATATATATATTTATAAATTTTATTTTATATGTCGTGCCGTAGGGAAAAACTTTCGTCTTGGCCCTTTAAAAACCCAAAGCTTTATCTTGTATTTTAGGGCAAGTGAAAATTTGTGTATGCAATAATTTTGCAAAATCATTCTGAACCCCAACGAAAAAAAAATATTTCACCGTGTTTTGTTTAGTATTAAAATTTTTGTAAACAAATTAAAATATATTTATTGGGTTAGGCTTTAAAAAAAATTGTTTTTTGTATAATAAGGTTAGGAAGTTTTTTAAGTTCCTTTTTTGGGGCAAAATTATAAATTTTTACATAAACCCCTTAAAGAAAAAAATATTTTCTTTTTAAAAAATTTAAGAGAAAATTTTAGAAAAGGGCTTAAATTTTAAAAAAAGGGTTTTTGCTAATTGCCGTTTTACATATTCCCGGGACGACCTTATATTATATTAAAAATTTTTATATTATATATAAAATTTGTGCGGAATATGTAAAATGGTCAATTAACAAAACTATTTTAAAAAAATTAAAAGGGGGTTTTCCCTTTTTAAAATTTTGTTTTTAAACGTTTAAAGAAAATTTTTTTTTTTTCAAATTTAAAGTTAATGTAAAAAAATTTTTTAAATTTTTCGGGCAAAAAAACTTTTGAAAACAACCCAACCTTTTTATAAAAGAACAATTTATTTTAGCCTAACCCAAATAAATATTTTTAGATTTGTTTTTCAATAATTTTTTCTAAACAAACACGTGAAATATATTTTTTCGTTAGGGTTTACAATGATTTTGGCGAAATTATTGCATACACAAATTTTACTTGTCCCATATGGGGAAGATTTAGCATTGTTATTTAAACCAAGATCGCAAGTTCCCGCCCATAAAATATATATATATAAAAATTTTATATATATATTATTTAAAATATATATATTTATATAATATTTTATATATAAAATATTATATATATATAATTTTAAAGTCGTTTCCCAATAGGCCCAAAATTGCCCCCTTGGCTTAAATAGCAACGCTATCTTTCCTAATGGACAAGCGAAAAATTTTTTGTTTCAATAATTTTTCCCAAAAAACATTCTTTTTCCTAACGGGAAAAAAATATATTTCATTGTGTTTGTTTAGTAAATTAAAATTTTTGTAAATAAATCTAAAAAAATTTTTTGTTAGGGGGAGGGTAAAAAAAAAATTGGGTTTTCGTTATAAAAGGTTAGGTAAGTTTTTTTAAAGATTCTTTTGGTGCAAAATTAAATTTTTTTACATTAACGTTAATGAAAAAAATATATCTTTAAACGTATAAGAGAAAATTTTAGAAAGGACTTAATTTTAAATAAGTTCTTGCTAATTGACCAGTTTTACTTATTCGGCACGACATATATATATATATATATATATATATATATATATATATATTATATATATATATATATATATATATATGTTGAAAGACAGATAATTATATAAACATACTAGCAGGAAAATATGGGAAAGAGTAGATTTATAGTAAGGTACAAAAATCTACACTGTTACCTGAAACATTTATTTCATATTTAAGTTGATATTCTATCAGTTAGAAAAAAAGGACAAAAACAAATATTAATTTATCAAATCTCATCATTGTAAACTCAACAAAAGATCTAGTAAAAGAATTATAAAAATCTGAAAACAAAATAACAAATAATCGCTCATTGTTGGTAAGGGATGTTTTGATCTCAGTCTTCCCAAGTTCATATTCTTACTGTGGATCGACTGGACTGCTCAGTAAAGGTGCACCTGTGGATGATATAGTTTATATCGTCATTATGTTAGCTAGGTCTCTAAATCTTGGCTTACATGATAACCTCTCTTAAATAAAAGACCCAGAGTACTCAAAGAAGTGGAAATGCACTTCCTAGATTTTACCAAACTATATCTAGCACTGCGACTATAACAAATGAACTTTTCGAGACCTTTTATAATGAACTTAAGATTACACTTAAAGAATAAAGGGAATGTTACCTGACATGAACTAATTGTCAAATATGCTCTAATCAACTTTTAAGTTTATTTTTTAAGAAAAGAGATCAGCATTTATCATACATACTTCTAAATCCCCATATAAATACTATTTTCGCTATCATGAGCTGAACTCCTTTTGCTAGAAGATATGGATGATTCCATGAGAGCACCGTATATGCTGTTCTCACTGTCATGGTGCGAGCCTCTGCTTCCCTGCAACTCCAAGCTCACTGTTGTGTAGACTGGATCATTTGAATATGGTTGTTTGTCTTCTTGCAGCTCCTCCAAGTTCACATTCTCGTAGATGGGATCGTTCATGCATATCGCCTTATGTGATGATGACGGCTGAGGTGTCTTTTTTCTGCCAACTC